GTTATTTAATTTCTGTGAAATCTGAAACTTTCTCTTCCCATTTTACAGGAAATTATGAATCCTTCCTTTTACTAATCAACCTGCTCTAAGAGTACAAACTTTGTCAGGTTTCTCACTTAAACATTCACTTTTAAACTGTGGGTTGGAGCTTCTGTGAATGACTCACTTGGTTTGTCCTTCTGTATTTTATTTTGAAATTCAAAAATAAGAACCAATCTTTTTAAACAGTGATATATTTCCTGCTCTTCCGTCTCTATGAAACAAAGGCCATTTGGCCACTGTGGAGGAAAAAAAACAACTAACTGCAGAAACTGTAGTTCCCTCCCACACAGTGCAGTAAAATCTCTTTTAAATCATATCTCAGGGGTGCATTTTTCTTTTATCTACAGTTTCAGCCCTGCTGACTGTGGGGGAAAACACGCAGGAAGAAGTTGGACATGAAAGCAGCAAGGACAGCTGCTGCTTTTCATCTCTAACTGATGCACCACAGATCCAACCGAGGTACAAAGATGAGAAATTATGCAAGGACGATAGTGTCACACTGGGCAGGATCCCCATAGTGAAAATAACATCCAAGCTGAAATATTATCAGATTCCACTCAACACAATTTATTTGAGAGATTACTTGTGATAATGAGATTCATAGTCTCTCTGTCTTCGCTGTCAAAACTGATATTTACTACAAGGCTGAAGGCTTTAAGTGTAAAGTAGTGAAAGTTTCCAAAAAAATTGGAAAAAAAACGGAAAAAAAATCTTGTTGATTCCAACTCTCATCCCCAAATCACTTAAAAGGGATATTCTGGAGAATAAACATCTCACCTGCTGTGGATAGTTCTTCAAAAGTCCTCATTTTGGAAAATTTGATTTTAATTTTGTAAATTCAAATCTAAAAATATATTAGTACCGTATATATTTCAAGTATAATACGTAAAATTAAATCCATAAAATCATCCATAAAGTTGGGGGGTAGTACTATACTCGGATGAATATTTTTACTTATGTATCCATCCATCCATTTTCTTCCACCTATCCGGGGTCGGGTCGTGGGGGCAGCAGCTTCAGA